TCTTCTGACATATGTGCTTATTCTCCAACTACAGGAAGTCAGGTGCGTGGGGAGAGTGATGATAACACACTCTCTGAGGTGATGTGGGAATATAAGTGGGAGAACACAAACACATCTGAACTTTATGGACCCTTCAGCAGCTCTCAGATGCAGGTAAGAGACCAAAGGACGATAGATGAACTTCTTGTTCACTTCCTCACTTTGTATCTGTTTTTCTCTATTCACTATCCTGTTAATGTCATTTCCCCCCCCCCCCCCCATTGGTGCAGATATCCTTTTCCCTTCTCTTATATCTCATTTATCTTTCTTTTTTCCCAAGTGACTTTTAAAAAGTGCATCTTTCTACAATTCTATTCATTTTGATTGCCATCTATTTAGTGTTACTGGTTGTTTGATTTTGCAATTGTATATAAAACTTGATTTACATTGAATACAGGTAGTCCTTGACTTACAACTGTTCATTTAGTGACTGTTCGAAGTTACAGTGGCACTGAAAAAAAGACCATTTTTCACACTTAGAACCATAACAGCATCCCCATGGTCATCTGATCAAAATTCAGACGCTTGACAACTGACTCAATTTATGATGGTTGCAGTGTCCCAGGGTCATGTGATCCCGTTTTGCGACCTTCTGACAAGCAAAGTCAATGGGGAAGCCAGATTCACTTAACAACCGTGTTACTAATTTAACAACTGCACTGATTCATTTAACAATTGTGGCAAGAACAGTCGTAAAATGGGGCAAAGCTCACTTAACAAATTTCTCACTTAGCAACATACATTTTGGGCTCAGTTGTGGTCGTAAGTTGAGGACTATCTGTACTGATGGAAGAAGGCTTCTGTTGGTGCACATTATTTTGGCCTTTCTTCCTGGCAATTGTGAGAAGGAAAGCCTGTTCCTAGGAAGATTTCCATACTGACAACCCTATGCATCAGAGGGATTTTTAATCACTTGTCACATTTACATTGTTCATGGTTGTAATTTATTTCCTTAGTCAGAATTTCTTTCTGGACAGTACATTTGCTGTGGGGATGGTGCTTGAGAATTAGTTTTGATTGATACAGCATCACTGCCCCCAATTTCATAGTAACACACCCCATGTGCATCTTTTAGAATCTGGTTCTTTTCCTGACACCCTGTGAACGATGATTTCCTTATTAGAATTTAAAAGTAACCTAAACCTAGGGCAGCATATTGGCAGTTTTGAGTGTAGGATCAGAAATGGTGCGCAGCATTCGGTTGCCTTGGAATACCAGATCTGTGATAAATGATCTTCCAGTCCTTTATTAGCAAAACATTTGTGATTAACACGGTTTGATTTGTTCTAATATGGTCCTATCAGATCCCATATTGGCTGAGTGCATTTCAGGTTGACCCTTTTGATAAGGCTGCCAATTAAGGGACCCTCTTCGACATTGGTTGCCTCTCTCGTGAAGTTGCATGCCAGATGGGTCTGTTTTCCTTCATGAATGAAGGCGGATATATACGTGTCCCAGGATAATGTCACAGGATCCCATCTGGGTCGGTCACCGGAGCTAGAGTTTTTGACTTCTGAGCTTTCAGACTCGTGCTGGAGCCCATCCTCGGGGAACTTCTCTCTAGCATAGCCTGTTTTCTTTCCTTTTCTCCTTTTCCCTGCTATCCTTCTCTCTTTTCTTTCAAATTCTCTTTTCTGTCTCTTCAGGACTGGGTATCCCAAGGCTATTTCCCTGATGGGATTTACTGCCGGAAGGCGGATAATTCCGAGGGCCCGTTCTACAATTCCAAGCGGATTGATTTTGATCTCTACACATGATCGGAACCCACCTCCTGTTCTGCCGAGCGCGAGGGATAGAGTTCAACCCAGCGACAGACTGAAAGAACTTGCCAGACTTTGGGGAGGGGGGGGTGAAGGCAAGGGGACGATATGTGTGTGTGGGGGTGGGTGGGTGGGTGCACTTGCCAAGGGGAAGAGGGGTTTGATTCACCATTTAAATTTGAGGATGTTTGGGATTTTGTGAAAAAAATAAAATAACTTTAAATTGGCTTGGTTAGTCAGCTCTCTCTATTTTCCTGCTGGCTATTACATCCCATTGCTGTAAGTTTTGTGTAGGGTAACGTTTGCCAGATACAAATAATCTTGTACAGATAGTCCTCGGCTTAGGAGCACAATTCAACCCAGCAGTTCTGCTGCTAAACAAGACAGTTGTTAAGCAAATTTTGTCCCATTTTGCGACCTTGCCACAGTTTTAAGTGAATTACTGCAGTTGTTAAATTAGTAACACGGTTGCTAGATGAATCTGGCTTCCCCATTGATTTTGTTTGTCAGAAGATCGCAAAAGGGGGAATCGCGTGACTCTGGGACACCGCAACAGTCATAAATACATGCCAGTTGCCAAGGGTCTACATTTTGATCACAGGACCATGGGGGTGCTGTCACAGTCCTAAGTGTGAAAAAACAGCCATATGTCACTCTTCAGTGCCATTGTAACTTTGGACCGTCACTAAACAAATGGTTGTGAATTGAGGATTATCTGTATGGAGGCAGGATTACTTGGGCATAGCTCATTAACCAGAGCTAATAGGATCACATGCTTCATATCAACTGCAGCAGTCAACGTGATTGTTAGTGGAAAATAAGACTTTCCCAATACTAAATGAATGGTTGTAAGTCGAAGACTACCTGAGATAGTTTCTTTCAGCCCAGCGTTTTTAAGTATATCATGTGATAATTGAAGCTTCTGCTACTCACCAGTCCAGAGCTCTTTAAACAAGGAAAATGTTTTTAAATAGATAAATATACAGATTTAAAAACACAAAAAAGATAGATGACTAGCCTAATGGGCCTAGAATAAAATCAACATATTTTATACTCAGGCTTGCTTAGTTTACAGCCATATAGTCACATCAATTACACATGAACAGCTGTGTCGTTAGATTTATAGAAAGGAAATTATCTTTTCAAAAGATCCCTTAAAAATAAAATTTCAGATTTGGGAACATCGCTCTAAATAGTTCTCTGGATGGACTCAGCAAATTTATGGCAACTGAGGTAGAGTGTGCTATTGTAGCAAGATATTAATGGTTAAGTAAAATGGATGCCTCAAGAGTATTCCCTTAAGACAGAGGTGGGCGACTATGGCCCTTTGTGACCTGTAGACTTCAACTCCCAGATTATTCCTTTATAGCTTTATTCTTGGAAGGTTAGCTTTTTGTTTCCTGTGAATTTAGTTGTCCCTGCCAGGAAGCAGATGTCGTATGTTCCAAAAAATTGTGTGATTCCTTCAGCTGATTACTCTGCAGCAGCAGAGTAAATTTGGCCCTTTTTGTGGAAAGAAATGAAATTAGGCCTATTCAGTAAATCAGACTGAAGTTCTAGTTAGTTTTGTTTTTTAACCAGAACTTGAGCAACGCCATTGCTAGAAAGCTTACCTGCCAATATCCATCTTTAGGATGCAGGTAGTCTTTGACTGACAACCATTCGTTTAGTGACTGTTTGAAGTTACAACGGCACTGAAAAAAGTGACTTATGACCATTTTTCACATTTACAACCATTGCAGCATCCCCATGGTCACGTGATCAAAATTCAGATGCTTGGCAACTGGCCTGTATTTATGACCGTTGCAGTGTTCTGGAGTCATGTGATCAGCTTTTGCGACCTTCTGACAAGGAAAATCAGTGGGGAAGCCAGCTTCGCTTAACAACTGTGTTAGTAACTTAACAACTGCAATAATTCACTTTACAACTGTGGCAAGAAAGGTCGTAAAATGAGGCAAAGCTCAAAAACTGTCTTGCTTGGAAATGTTGGGGTCAATTGTAGTCGCAAGTCAAGGACCAGTGCCTTTGAACAGCAGAGAACCTAGTTGGCAATTTTGTCTAAGAGGCATTGATAGGATTCCCTGTCAATTTTTCTTAACACCCGTCAAACAAAATTTTCCTAGGATAGAATTGTAGAAACGAAACCAGCATTGCCTGTGAGAGTTCTGCCCACTAGGTTCGCCTATAGCAGTAATGGCAAACCTTAGAAAATGCCTACCTTGACCTCTGCTGCTGTATCGCACACACTGAAACACAAAGACCGGACAATGGAGACCTCTCAGGACCTCCTCTCTGGACTCTGAAAATCGCATGAGAGGGTCCTGTTCTCGCAGGGTCTCTGGAAACTCCAAAAGCTGCGCAGGGATGCTCACATAATTTTTGGAGACCTCAGATGCCACACAAGCAGAGCCCTCTTGAGTGACTTCCAGAGGGTCCAGAAGCCTGCCATGTCACCAAAAAAATAGCCTGCCGTGTCACCTGTAACATGTGTGTCTTAGGTCTGCCATTGTCAGCCTACAGCAGTGGTGGCGAACTTAAGGCACGAGTGCCAGAGGTGGCACTCAGAGCCCTCTCTGTGGGCACTCACGCTGTCGCCAGAGCCCCACCTCCGCCCATGGTCCCCTCCTCACCAGCAGCCCCCCCCCAGAGGAGAGTCGCCCCCGAGCACAGCCGGCATGAGCAGCGCAGCCAAGGACATGGCAGTCGGGCAGCAGGGACAAGACTCCGCCCTTGTGCCCTGTCGTGCACAGATGATGCTGTGGGGCGTGGGTGGAGGGCATGGCTGCCATGGCGCTGCTGGGCCACCTGGGCAATCTGCGGCGGCCATGGAGGCTGGGGGTGGGCGGGTCTGGGGGCAGAGCGGAGGCAGAGAAAGTGGGATGGGGCGGAGCGGGAGTGGAGCGGGGGCAGGTGGGGCTGGTTTTTGAGCACTCGGTCTCTAAAAGGTTCGCTATCACAGGCCTACAGCATTAAGCACACTCTGGTCAGGAGGAAAAAGGGGCCATATAACCACTCTGGTGCTCAATATACCACAGGAAGTGATTTAGTAATACTTCAGATAGAGATTGCACAAAGGAGGGCCAAAGCAGAAGTTGGAAGAACTAAGAATGTTGGGAGGAAATATATATTGGTGTACGAAGAAAAGGAAGTGAGAGGCAGAGGAATCAGTGAAGAGGCTCCAGAGAGGTGAAGCCACACATTATGGGTCCTGTCACCAAAGTGAAGTTCTTCTACCAAGCCGTGTTCCTTCTTTGCCTCGGCTGCGGTACGTAGCAGAGCCCTGTTGGGTTTGGTGGCTCAGGAACAGGGCAACAGGTGACCTGAGAAGTACCAGATTTACCTAGCCTTTCATAGATTTCAGAGCATTTTCTAGCTTGGGGGTTGGGGAATTATTACTCCTTTATACAACCAATCTAGTTCTATAAAGGAGTAATAATTCCCCAACCCCCAAGCTAGAAAATGCTCTGAAATCTATGAAAGGCTAGGTAAATCTGGTATCTTTCATCCAGAATGGGAGAATTGGCTGGGGAGGTTTGATAATTTCCATCCAAAGTAAAGAAGGCTGAGTTGCAAGGGTTGGACATCCCCCGCAAAATGGAGAGCCTAGATGCTGTTGAATTAATTTCAGTAAGGATCACCTACTGGTATTTCGGAAAAAGGAAAAGGTAATATTAGCACAGAAGCTGTTCTTAAGTTTTGCACTGGCTGAACAATGAGAGGATCGCTAAATATCGCTTCAACTTAAGCCCTTCTATCAAGCTCTGTAAAGTAGGTTAAATGCTCCTAGACTGAGCCACACAAGCGAGGCTGAGAGACAATGGTGTGGTTAGATTTGTTTAAATTCACTGATGTTTGAAGGAGTGCTTCCTACATCTTACCTGATCTGAGCAGTTTTTATAAAATTAATATTTCTTCAATACGTAAGGTAGAAATCAGCATTAGAAAGGAGTGTTGTCTATTGTCCCCAGCTCCGGAATTAATTTTCACTGACAGCCTGTTTTGTTTTCTGCCTAAGGAGTTTTCAAGACAATTATTAAAATAGGGGATTGCTTTTGAGCTCCGTTAACTCTTTCTACAGAATTATGCAAAAATCACTGCCTGAGGCGATTATAACATAAGGAACATTCCAAGACTTTATAAAATGTCATGTTATTCAGAACATGAAAGATGTAGTCTAATAATGCCATCAATTTATATCTGTCTTTCAACGTTACATGCTTGAAAAAGGACACAGTATTTCATCCTAATGAACTCTGATTTAATCTGGAGCGCTCTAAGTATCTTAACCTAATCCTGGACAGCAGCTAAGAACTTGTGACGCCAGACCAAATAGAAGGAAAAGATAGCACTAGCTTTTAAATACAATAATTTTCCAGGAAGGGTGTGTAAAACACATATGATTTCAAACTGTTTTGAGGATGAAATTTCCCATTCTGAGATCAAAACTGCTGTACTGAACATTCTAGCAGTATTTTGAACTTGGAACAATAATTTACAGAGTAAAATATTTTCAAAACACTTGAAACAGCCTATATTATATCATAAAAAACAGCCATTTCAGATTTGATATACTTCAAAATAAAATGCTTTGGCTTCTTTTTATGTAGTAAATTCTATTTTTAATCCAATGTCATTTGCATTCCATTTTTAACTCTACTGTACTTAACCTATCGGGTTTTATTCTGCATATTTTTATAACAGTTTTTACTTGTGTTGATTGATATTTTATTCTAAGCCATTTTTGATTACTTCTCTGAATTCTAAAGTAAGAATAGGTAAAAAAGGTAAAAAAGAGCAGGTTGTACCACTTTCATCTGAATATGGATATTTTATTTTTTTATTTATATGTTATTTGTTTTATTCAATTTGGACACCATCCAATTCTGACTGGGTAGTTCACAAATAATAAATCAGGGTGGGATCCAGGCAAATATTCAGATAGAAAACAAAAGTAGCAAATGCCTGCAAGGGGGTTCCTGTCTCATCTCAAGATCAAGGAGACTAATCAGGTCTTTAAGGCTTTATGGAACATCAATGAATTTTGGAGGATGGGGTGTGGGATATCATTCCAAAGGCCAGGCACCACAACAGAGAGAAGGCACACTTCCTGGGTCCCAGTGGATGGCATTGTTAATTGAAAGTACCTAGAATGTGCAACTCTGCCAATATAGAATGCCCAAATGGAAACCATGGGAGATAGACAGTCATATAATTTGGGCCTATGCCATGTAGGACTTTATTAACAATAACCAGCACCTTCATTCACACCCAGAAACAGACTGGCAACCACTGCAGCTTGTAGAGCGAGGGTAGTACATGGGCATATTGAGGCATACACATCACTGACCGCACAGCTGCGGTCTGGACTGATTCAAGTTTCTGAATGGTTGTCAAGGGCAGCCCCATGCACAGTCATTGCAGTAGTCAAGTTCTGAGGTGACTAGGATGTGAATGACAGTCCAAAGTGTCTCCTAGACCAAAAAGGGTGGAACTGATACATCAGATGGAGGTGAACTAAGTCCCCCTTGAGTAGGTTGAGTCCGAAGGATCTTCAGATTATATGCTACTTTTGAGTGAGGACGTGCTACTCCATCTAAGTATGGATGGAAAGTTTTTGGGTCCATTCAGATCCAACTACAGGTCACCTTTCTGGCTGCCTTAACAACCCAGGAAGGACCTGGATCCAAAGACTAACAGAGCAGACAACTCTTTCCTCAAAGCCTATCCCAAATCACATAACAAGAAATGCCCCAGGCATTTCAGCCCAAATATTCTTCACAGAGCTCCTGTAGATGTATTTGCCTGACCCTCCCCATCAGAACTGGGTCACTCCTGGCTATCAGTGGACGCCATAAGGGCATTGGCAGCAATTCCAAACATGATCTTAAGTCCAACTCAACCAGAAGACTTCACATCCCATTATCTCCAGAACAAAACTCCTAAAAGCCTTGTAGGGGTAATATTACTGAGCATACACAAAAAAATCTTTCTGTTTGTTTCTACACGCTCAAAAGAGATAGATAGATAGGTAGGTAGGTAGGTAGGTAGGTAGGTAGGTAGGTAGGTAGGTAGGTAGATAGATAGATAGATAGATAGATAGATAGATAGATAGATAGATAGATAGATAGATAGATAGATAGATAGATAGATAGATAGATAGATAGATAGATAGATAGATAGAGGGGGGGAAATACAGATAGTCCTTGTTTAATGAGACTGGTAACTCCATCGCTAAGAGATCTGATTGTAAACTGCGATGTCATGTGACTGCACAGACTTACAAAGACGGTTGCAGCAGTTCTGGTTGTCATTGTTAAGCAAGTCGCCTACAGTTGTTAAAGGTGACATCAAGCAACTGATTTGTGACCTCTTGCTGGCTTCTCCTTCACTTTGCTTGTCAGAGCCATCAGTGAAGGTCACAGATGGCAATCAAATGATTATGAGACACTGCAACTGTCATAACGGTGAGCCTGAGCTACGAGGATCGGTCGTAAGTCTCATTCAGCAGCATTGTAATTTCCAACAGTCACTGAACAACTGGTTGTTAAGTGAGGACTACCTATAGATTCTCTTTCACTAAGGATTTATTTTGAAAATTCAAGGATATTACCCCTCAGACTGAAATGATCTATCTGGGCCTAATTCCAATATGTCCCATACTTCAAATAGCCAATTTTTTTAGAGGAATCTTTGCAAGCTGTCCCCCTAAGCAATATTTATTTACTTGTTTATTTAACATATTTTGATGCTTCTACAATCAAAAAGATACGTGGCTCACATAGGAGAAGAAAATACTAGATGGGGGGACAGAGATTACAGTCCTGAAAATTTATACAACATGTCCCTAAACTACAGAGCAATTGTGTTTATATAATGTATGATGGGACATGTATGTTTTAGTGCTCACTTGTGAATAGTTGTGTAGTGTGGGGCAAGATTGCCTGTGTGGCCTAAGTTCTATCAGTGTTGGTGTTTGAGCAATTCACCAAGTAAAAAATATGATGCCTTTAGCTGCTCTTTGCCAGAATATGGTGGAATGTAGTCTGGATTCCCGGGAGGGGCTGCATTCCAGAGGACCAAGAGACAGCGAAGTTTAGATATGAGTATCTTGCCTGTCTGGGTGGGTGAGGGCGGTCTTAGGGATTCTTTGGTTGGTCTGTTTACTAATGGCTCTGTGCCAGTTTCTTGATTGGGGTACTGCTTACTTGACTGTTGGTCTGAAGGTGACCTTGGAGTTAATCTATGCTGATCTGAGTGCTGATTACTGGTGCTGAGGTCTTATTCTCTTTTGGACTGCTTGATTGTCTCTTTTGCATAATCTATAGATGTTGTTAGTGTCCATGTGTCTATTGATGGCTGATTTGTCAGAGTGCCAGGCTTCTAGAAATTCCCTGGCATTTTTGGATTTGACCTAGATTAGGATTGTCACATTTTCCCAATTGAAACTATGGTTAAATCTGTTGTGAAATTAAAGAATTTTTTTCATGTCTTTTGACTACCAGTTGGTGTTCATTAATTTCAGCATAGATTAACTCCAAGGTCACCTTCAGACCAACAATCAAGTAAGCAATACCCCAATCAAGAAACTGCCACAGAGCCATTAGTAAACAGCCCAACCAAAGAATCCCTAAGACTGCCCCCACCCACGCAGACAGGCAAGACACCAGAATATAAACCGACAGCAAACGGCACTCCTTACTAGCACTGATGATGTTACCTAGTTAGGGTAATGAAATGTCTGCAAGAAAACAAGCCAGCTCAGAGAGTACCAAGGACCCCTCATTTCAACCCTGAGCTACAAATATCCCCCTTCATTGGAAGTTTAGATAATTTGGTTGGGATGAAGAGGCTCAGGACAGCTCCTCCCCAGAAGTTCTCAGAACATATCTTTATTGATGCTTGTTGTTTGCTTTAGTTTGGCAAGAGGAACAATAAAGGAAATTGCTTTGGAGTAACTCAGCTCGTTTTGGAGCCTGACACGTCCTGCATTGCTCTCCTTGATCAAAGCCTCTAGAACAGGGCTTTTCAACCTTTTCACCCATTGTACCACTTTTTAGGATATGGCAATATCTGAGTACCACCAGTCACCTAGCAAGGTGTCAAAAACGTGATGACCAAAAAAAAAAAAAAAAAAAAAAAAAAAGGAAAAGGAAAAAAGTGATGAAGTACAGGTAATCCTCAACTTACAACAGTTCGCTTAGTGACTGTTCGAAGTTACAATAGCACTGAAAAAAGTGCCCCCCAAGGCACAGCCGAGCAAGACAC